ACAGAGGGCCAGCACAGGCAGGATCACACCATGCGGCCCATGAATTGCCACCAGTGGAACAATTGCACGCTGAACGTGACTTGCCACTTGGACTACTACCCCCACACCCACACTGCGAAGGACTACTGGACGCTGAGCATCAATCCCAACATCATCACGAACATACAGGGCCAGCACATGCAGGATTACGACACGCGGACCCTGAACGACTGGACGCTGAACGTCAATTTCAACATCTTCACGAACACAGAGGGCCAGTACGTGCGGGACTGGACGCTGAGCTACATCTCCATGAACACAGAGGGCCAGCACATGAAGGATTACGACACGCTGACCCCGAACTACTGGACGCTGGACCACTACCTACACACCCAGCTCGCGAAGGACTACTGGACGCTGAGCGTCAATTCCAACTTTTTCACGGACATAGAGGGCCAGCACATGCAGGAGTACGACACGCTGACCCTGGACGACTGGACGATGAACTTCAATTTCAACGTCTTCACGAACACAGAGGGCCAGTACGTGCAGGACTACACCACGCTGCACCTGAACCGCCACCAGTGGAACAACTGCACGCTGGACTTGAATTGCCACCTGGACTTAAAGGTCGACATGAACGTGACCCTGGTGACGAGCGCCCTGATCATCAATTTCCAGTCCGACGACCCACCTACTTCTCTTCAAGGCCCATCGAACTCACCATCATGCTCCTCACCCTACAGCACCTGATGCGCACTGGTGTTCAAAGGGCAGGAATGGGACATGACACGGCAGATTATCAATACGCGGACCCGCTCGCTGAGCGAGTCTATCACCCCAGTCGACGGAAGCTCGAGATCGATCACGACGTCAGCTCCACCATCATCCAGACTTTCGACATCGGCAAAAAAGGAAAAAGCCCCACTGGCAATGTGATTCAGGACATTCATGCATGCGTACGTTTATCTCACTGTTTCGACCATCTATGGCGATTGTATCTGAGGATAGGACTCATACAGAATGGAACTCAATACGCACAGAACATCGGTAAGCAGGACACCCTGGCATCACTGAGCATTCACGGGGCTACGAAGAAGGCCGAACGGAACATCAAGATCATGCAGTTAGACATTTACGACGAGCATGGCAAGCAGGTAGATGCCATCACGCAGGAGCACGAAAGCTACGAGCACATTATGGACTCCCTCAGGAAGAGCGGCCCCCCAGAGGACAAGAGATGCCTGCAGGGGATAGGGTCGCCAGACCCGTCCCGCGCGCTGACGGCCCTAGAAGGACTGTACAAGTGCGACGTGGGCGGCTCCATGAAGGGTGCCATCGAGGACATCCAGGCGGAGACGGAGATCAGCAAGGAAGATATCCTCGACGCCATCAACTTCGTGCGCCTGGAAAAGTGCTACGACCACGACAAGACGAAGCTGGTGATCGGCGCGCTAGGCGCGCCCATGTGGGAGGGCCAAATCCTGATCAGCCGCGCCCTCGAGGCCGAGGGCCAGGCGGTCCACCACCGAGACGTGGGCCCAGTGGGCTGGCTCGAGGAGGAGGCTAGAGACGCTCGAGCAGTGAACCCGTCTTTTTCTGCCAGAGCGGGCCTGCAGGCCACAATGCAGGCCACAGCGGAGAGGAGGCGTTTCAACGCCGCGTCAATTTCGTTCGAGGCAAAGACCTCCCTGCCAGCAGCGGCACGGTCACGGCCGGCCGCATACCCTCCCTCCTCCGTCGCGCCTCCACTCCCCCCCTGCCGTGCCAGCACATCCAGAGGAGCAGTGTGAGGTGGAGGCCCCACCTGAGCATGATACAACCGCCGAAGAAGAAGCGGCCGAATATCTCAGCTAGCATTTCGACGCTGCTTGGCACGCGTTGCGCAGGAGGCCCCTCCGAGCAGCACCCTGGCAGTCTGGCCCAAGCGGGGCAATACGAGACAGTCGGCTCTCTGCGACGGATCACTTTAAATCTGGTTTCATTGTACACCATATCCTGATATCAGATGTTGGTCCTGACGTCGAGGAAAATCCTCCTCCTTTTCCTCCTCCTCCTCCTCCTCCTCCTCCTCCTCCTCCTGCTCCTCCTCTTCCTCCTCCTCCTCCTCCTTCTCCTCCTCTACTTCCTAGCTGGCCGATGGCTGCCGGATCCGGGACCTCCCATCCGACGTGTTAGAGAACATTGCAAACTCTTCACTCTCGCACTCAGCATCGACACTCTGTCGTCCACGTTGCAGAAATACGCGGCGGGGAAGGGGACGGGGCGCGCATCCCGCGCGAAACGCCGAACTGTCGCTCTCGCCGCGGCGCCGCGCTCGTGAGTTTCCGCCGGCGCAGCGCACATGTTTCGCACCCCTCTTCGTCGACGCGCCCGCGAGCGGGCGAAAAAGCCGCCGTCACCCCGGCGCCGCGAATAGTTCCTCGGACGGTGGCGTTCCAGCATCGGCGCAACGAATAATGTTCGCTCGCGCTGGCCCCCGCGAGCGGGCGGCTTGTCACCCTCACCCAAGCCCCGTGCG